TCATTGTTTCTTAATGTCCGCTCTCTCTACCTCATACAATTATATTGATGAGATTACCTGGAGTTAAGTAAGGACTTAAACCCGTCTTATTTATATGAATTTACAATGTCTTGAGCAGCTGTTTTCAATGCATATAATATTGTAAATGGATCTTTATATGGGGAAAGATCCTCACCTGATTATGCCAGAATACTTAGTTTGTTGGAGTTCAATTTCTACCACACATGATCAACGTCACTTTTCGACGTGACTGACTTTTGACACCCTGACTACAAATCGACACTAACTGTGCATATTTCATCTCTCTGAATCTTTTTGGGCATTAAAAACAAGTACTCTGGATGCATTTTATTTTTCTGTAGCCAGTTTAAACATTCCTTAGGTCAATACCAGTTTTTCCAGGAGCGAAACTCTATAGAGTGATTGAAAAAGAAACCCCTCCCCCTTGTTGACGTTATTTTCAAGTCCATAATTGTTTGGACACTCCATATAAAATTTACGATAAAATTTCATAGAAATTACAGAATCGGGTAAAAATTGCAAATTTTACTAAACAAATGTGTCATACCACATGCCTGAATTAACGAGATTTTTGGATGACAAATACTCATATCTAAAGAGTTTTTCTCAGTTATACCCAGGTAGAAAAAAACGTCATATTAGAGGTTGCGCCGCCTGGACATACCTTTGCTTACAAAAACACTAACAATTTATTAAAAAATAAAAATTATGATTTATGGTTTATTCTATAGATAGAAAAGATGATGCTAACTAAATGTGTAAAAATTCATTGATGTACCTAAAGCGGTTTTAATTTTATGACGCTAGTCCACGAACTTTTTGATAACCCCTCGTATATATCAAATACATCATAAACAAATTTTGAAAAATCAAAATATTAATTTCTTTTGGCGGGGCGTTAGCAATTTTGTCTAGTGTATAGTAACAAGCTTGAAATATGGAAAAATATGTTTCTGTGGCTCAATAAAACAAAACTGATTCAGAAACTACATGTATCATGTATTGTTGAATTATAAATTGTTTCAAACAAACAGGAATTCAATGAATGAATAATGAACTAGATTTATATCTGCAAAAATTATAGTATTCAATATAAAGGACAGTATTATATTAATTTAAGCTTAGAAAAAAAAATCCCATGATAATACCGTTTGTTAATGTCGATTTTGAAGTTGTCCATCTTAGTGTCCTATTCCATCAGGTGATTATGAACAGCGTTAAGTTTCCATTCAATGTAATTTTAATATCTAGTAGATCGCTTCGTTTATATTATGCACTGTTGCGTCCGTTCCTACACAAAGTATGGGGCATTATATGAACAAACTGAGTTTTATACTATGTCAGGAAGGTTTCACACAAGTTTTTATTCTTTTCTGGCTTAGTGGTTCTTAAACAAGAAAATTATTTCAAATGACCCAACCAATTTCTGTCTTTTTTTATAAATTATTTTTCCAAGAAGTATGATGTGGTCCATCTTATAAATAAACGTGAATATCCTTCAACCAAGCATTTTGATTAATTTTGGCCCAGTGGTTCTTAAGAAGAAGTTAAAAATGTGAAATGTTTGAAACGATGACAGCAAGACGGACATACCAGGCGCAAATTTCAATCAAAATACTAAGTGAAACCTTGTGAGAGCTTAGAAATATACTTAAAGGATTGAGGGTCTAAAAATTAATTATTGTTTAATTATATGCTAATCAATGACTCTTTGCAGTAACTGAAATTGGATGTTTTTTCCCATGTCTAATGAAGTTGCAAAAACCCCTGTCCTCCACTATCGTCTATCCACCTATAAATAATTCAGTTCAGTTCATTTTATTAAAGTCAAAAGATTTCAATCATATATAATGATTATATTAACATCCAACATGTACAATATATAACATAATGATATTTTCAGTAATTCAAAGATTTGTAAAAAAAAAAACAATGTTCTTGTTGCATTCGCTAAATGCAAAAATTTACGTAATTACATAATTCTTTCACATTCTGTGTACTAAGTAATTGTACCAATTTGAAGACACATGCAGCTACATGTACATTACAGGTATACAAAGGTTGTCCCTAAAGTTCATGCACAATAATATTTTTGTCAAACTGAATGGTTCTAGACATGCTAATTGTATACCACAATATTTGTAACAAAATTCAATCCGAAAAAAAATTGGTTGTTTGAACTCGGTTTTGGTTTTAAATGATTATTTTCTTCATAAACAAGCCAAAACTTCATAAAAGAAAAGAGTGTCAAATAAAGCGATTATCTTTATTTAATAATAATATCTAGTACATGTATCTAGTATAGCTTATTGGACAGATAGTGAAAATATTAAGAAATACGTTTCAAAAATCGACAGAAAAAGTGGCGTTGGTCATCCGAATTGAACAGCTTACGATCATAAAATTATGGTTTAATATGTTTGAAACGACGTCAACGACGAACAATCAACTAGAAATTATTGGGATATACGAATTTTCAACGGTGTGAACAATTTGAGAGAGTGGAAAACTGCTGTTATTTGATAAAGACACGATATCCTTTTCATGTCGTTATAAGAAATCTAGCGCAACGTCGAAATGGACTGTGCAGTCTGTCTATACGAAATTCTTATACTAATGAAGCTCGTAAGTTATCATTTATCGTTTTAAATTTTAGAGAATTACTCAGTAATGGTATATATGTAGATATTATAGCACACCTTTAGCAGTGTTGCATAACAAAGAAAGTATAGGGTGTGTCCACCAATATGAAATAAAATTCAAATCCATATTTTTGTCATTATCGTGAAACTAGCCTATGTCAGACTGGGCTGTGCAGCTTGTTTATGCTGTCTATGTACACCAATATCTTTCGTAAAATTGTTTGTATTGTAAGTTTTATTTTTAATACATTTATTAAATCATGGTCTATATATCAAAATAATATCGGACACTTTGGCAGTGTGGTCATCATTAAATTTGTCTACGAACTTCATAGACAGGCATCTTACATTTACTTTTAATTATGTCGATATTCAAATAGCGGATTCAGATAATAAAAATAAAATCAAAGCAAACGAAAATAATTCCAATACAAGATATGGTATGTGTAGCCGTCCGTTTTGAGAGATAAATGTATATAAACTGTTTCAAACAAGAATGCTATATATTTTGTTTTATATTTGATACATTAAAAAAGTGTGACTTGAAAAGAAAAGAACTGGAATGGTGTTTTGTTATTTGAATTCATTCATATATACATCCATATATGAAAGAAACTCTCCAAGTAGTTAACTACGTATAATTGTATGTGATTTTTTTAAATTTAATGTTAAATTACAATTTAACAGAGATTTTAACAGTAAGATGAAACTTCATTTTTAAATAAAAGGGGGTTTATTGAAATGTTTAATGTTATCTTAAGAAAGTAACAAATGACACCCCCCCCCCCCCCATGAGTTATAGCGTGTCATTTACAACAATTTGCAGCTTGGTTTGTTTATTAGTCTCTTGATTTGAGCAAAACAAAAGATGATTTTCAGCCTTTTTGAAATGCCTGTATTTCACATGCTAAAGTCAAATTTCCTGGAACCTGGCGTAGAGTAGAGATTCCCGGACTTTGCGTCCACGGATTGTGATTCAAGCTTATGATTCGTATGAGTATGATGATGCGTGATATAGTGTTTTTTTTTCATCTGAAGAAAAATCGCAGCTAGAGCAATCGAAATGTGAGCTTACAGTCATTTTCAAGAAGTCTTTGTATCACTTAAGGAAAAGAAACTATAACTTTTGTTCGGATTATTGCCGCCATACTTATGATGAACAGAAAAAAACTTTGTAAACTCAAATTATAACCATTTGTTTTGTTTAACATGCAAATATTAATATCCGTTAAGTCGGGCTCGGACTTAGGTCGGTAAAGTGTTGAAAATAATTTAAGAGTTAAGTTACTGACTATGCAAATTTGGAAATGTCTTTAATTTTATGTACAAAAATAAACTCTCTATCTGATTTTTTACTGTGAAATGGGATGTTGCAATTTTGTGCGTTTCAATATATATATATATGATAGATTCTAGTGAATATTTTTTTGAATCTGTTAAATATTATTGTAACATAATTCAATTAAACGTTATATTCTGATAAAGGATTTCCTCTCTGTTATTTTTTAATTCCTGATAGCCATGCACAGCAGATGACAAGGTTCCGCTTTCGTTAAGAATCTGTCTCTGAATTGAGGCATCCTTTGACGCAACAGTGTTAGACTTTATCTTTGAGCACTCCCTCCTTCGAAAAGATATAAAATTAAAAAAAAACATGATTCAAAGTTATTTTCTAACTATTATGTTCTCCATACTGTAATTGTACAAACAATATACCATTATAGTTCTTATTGAAGCAAAGTTATCAAATTTTACAAAACATTTTTTTTCAACTCAGAGAAAGAGAAAATCCTAAATATGACTACAATGTAAAACTACCTGAAGTGCCTAAATCCAGCAATTAGTATTAGACATATATTCAGTACAACCGACAGAATCAGTCTTAGAAACCAGAATAAAGGGATCGGAAGAATAGAATCTGTAGCGGATTGTGGATGCAGCTCTGTAACTTTTTAAAGAATTTTAGCAGTAATTTATTTTTTAAGTACCAAATTCCTCGACAATATAATTGCTGATTTCCTAAATCTAGCCAAAAAGCATTGTTTTTAATGTTTAATCATATAAAACCCCTCACTATAAAAGTTTATATTTCATTCTGATTCACAAGAAAGTGAAAATGTTATTTTAGTTTTTTTAAATACACATAGAATATTTATATTACTTTTCCCTTCAACAGAAAAGAATATTTTTCGAAACTGGTATACTAAGAATGAATTTTAAAAACAAATGCTAGAAGTACCGTTCAGTTGTGAGCAGTTTCCTGTTATTTGTGAACAGTTTGACCCAGTGTAGGGTTGTTGACATCCTCGTGGACAGGTTCCATCGTATATATCGCATGAGTCATTAAATCCACAGTGTAAACTACACTCTTCTTCACAATTTATTCCGTAAAATCCAGAGGAGCATTCTAAATTGTCACAGAAAAGAATAATTATTTTTTTAAAGTGTGTTTTTTTTTCAATGTGTTACTAAAATCAGTATACAGTAAAACTCATTTAGTACGAACACGGATTTATCGAATTCACGTATTTTGCGAAGTTTTTGGGGCCCCCGGCAAAATTCTTTACAATTCTTTGTAAAATTTACGGTTATAACGAACTCTGATATAACGAATTTACGGATATAGCGAACTGATTTTTAGTCATGTAGAGGTTAAAAATAATGAAATTTACATCTTTTATAATGAATTTTCAAAGATCTCAAAATCTGAGATATTGAACCGACTTTATTTTCAGTAAGTATTTGTATATAAAATTCAATTCATTAAAAACCTCAGTTATCCAAGGTATGTTTTGTAATAATTGCTTCCCTAACATATTCGGTAATAAAACTAGAAGGAAAACGTCCATATTGCGAATTTGCTATATATAGTTATGCGAATTCGTTAAACGGATATAACGAATTACGGATATAAGGAATTAAATTCACAGATCCCCAGGACTTCACTATAACCGAGTTTTACTGTATATAGATTAAAAATAGTTTAAATTCAAACTAAAAGAAAAAGAATAACTATATTTTGAGCACCTTGGATACAATTGGTGCCCATCCAACCAGTGGCACAGATGCAAGATCCGTCTGTTTGCAGACACGTGTCCATGCATTTAGGAGAGCATATCTGAGAACAATTTCTACCATAATGTCCGTTATCACACACTACATAATGAGAAATTACATAAACCTGATATATAAACCATAGACTATCAAGGGTCAATCTGTATTCTGAAAATTTATAATTATGAAGTGATTTACAAGAAACTTAAAATTTATGACGTATTTTTTTCCCACATTTGTTGCATCTGTCTCCTACATATCCATTGTCACATCCTTCTGCGCAGACTCCGTCTACATGGTCACATGCACTGTCATTCAAACAGTGTTCACTACAGCGTTCCATACATCGGCTTCCAAAATGTCCGACAGGGCAAACTATTTGATTGAGAGAGAAATGATACCATAGGGAACTTTAAAAATTGGTTTTATCTTAACTTAATTTTTGTTTTCCAGTAACTAAGAAAGAAAGTTACCGCTGTTACAGAAGTGATCAGTGTATCCGTCTTCGCATCCTTTGTCACAATGTCCAGTTTGTTTGTTACAGGGATCGTTATTCTGACAGTGACCACTGCAACTGAATTTACAACCCACGCCATAATGACCAACTCCACACTCTGAAAACAAATAAAACTTGCAGAGGACCAGTGAGAATAGAATTACAATGTCAATGATCACAACTTGTCTATAATTTTAATATGTGTGTTCTACTATGCTTTCGGTAGACTGGAAGAGATAAAGATTTAACAGAAAGACTTTTAGACAATATGTTATGGTTCAAAGTGACAAGGCTCGTAACAATATAGTCGGCTTTTATATCAATTACATTAAAAACATAATTAACTCCACATTTGGAATTCCAACTTACACACTTTGATCTGTTTAAAAGGAAGAAACAGTTCGAATTCAATGTTCAAATTGTGTATCAGTTTTAACACCTAATAATCCAGTCAATGGAAGTGAATTTTATTTACAGTACCAACAAAGAATTCCAAGACTTAATAAAAATCCTTGCAAACAAAGACACATTACAGGTTAAGTAACTTTGAAAAGACTCATTGTAGGGTCAGTAAATGTTCTCATACTCCTCACAAAAGTATAAACTGCTGTGAAGGAGAAAAAAAAATCAAACGTACGTAATCAAGTGTGGATTTAGTTAAAATCCAAAGAACTTTAAGAAAAGAATTTCAAAATCAACACCATCAAAACTTCTTACTTTTGAACATTGTATATGTTACAGTAAATATGTGTAATCAGGAATTCTATGTATTTCCTGAATTTTAGGACATACATGAAATTCCTATCCTGCTTAGGGAATACATGTATTTGCTGTTTTCGGTTAGGAAATACAGGTGACTCTCGATGGCTCGAACTCCGATCTCTCGAAGTTCTCGATCTCTCGAAGTGAACCTCCGGTCCCGTTTTTTTTCCTCTATATATCTAAGCAAATTTACTCCTGATCTCTCGAACTCCCGATCTCTCGAAGTTCTCTATCTCTCGAACCAAGACCTGGGTCCCGTAACACTCATTTCATTGTTTTTTTACTCTCTATCTCTCGAAGTTTTGATCGCGCGTGTCTGTATACACGTCAATCAAGCGTAAAAATAATGCAGCTTGGACTTACATGGATGACAGTGAACGTCGGGGGCTGGGATAGACGTGTTAATTGGGTGTTTACATTGATTATACTACACCTGTGAGTCGTCCGAGTGTTGATATAATTAATTGGTTAATTGGTAAATTATAAACAAATCGCTTCACAACTTATTAATTAATTTGACCTGACGAGACGATAAGTTTGAGAATATAATTTAGGGACGTGTCCGTAATTTTCCATAGATTATGAACTTTAATATTTTTAGTCTACACAATCCCAGTTTGGCAAACATTGCACAAGAAATCCTATCTCAAGAAGTGAATATTGATTACGAACAATCTTGTAAAGTACTGATCAAGCCCGGGGAATAGCCAAATCGACAATTGCTATTCAGTTTTCATGTAATCATGAAATAAGAAGAAATATAACTTAAAATATTCATTTTATTTATTTAAAATACGATCACTGATGTTGAAATCAAGTGAATTGCCTGTAAAATACGATTATAAATGTGTAATAACATTATCAACATATACTTCCGGTATGTATAATAGTAGAAAAATGATGATCGGAACTGAAAATTTCGGATTTTATTCACTCTCTATCTCTCGAACCCCCCGATCTCTCGAACTTTTCTTACCGTCTCTTGAACTTCGAGAGATCGAGAGTCACCTGTACATGTATTTACTGATTTTTTTCAATACTTTTTACACATATTTACTGACTGTGTTTTGATGAGATAATTTAAAAATATGAATCACAAAATATGAACAGATGCATAGGATATTCAATGTTTATATCAGTTAGCATATCATGTGAATAAATAATATTTGAAATAAACCTTTATTTATCATTTATAAATAAAAATGCATTATTGAATATTAATTAAAAACAACAAATAATGATGCACTGCTTTCATTTTTTGAAATGAGTTGTCTATATCACAACATGCTTTAACTTTTTTTTATTTTACTTACTGCTATTTCTTGTTTTACTAGATATTCATACATTGCTACATGTATTTTGCATTTATTGACGGAAAATTTGAAACCCTGAAGCATCTTATTTGCAAATAAAACAATTCTTCTGTCGTCTTTAAAAAAGCAAAAAATATACTATTCCTCAAGATATCTTAAACATAATGCCCTTGACTTAATAGACAAGTGCGTCCTGCAACAAAGTAGAACGCGGAAATTTTGATTTTTTTGTTTTTGGTTAAATACAAAATTTCTTCTTTTTTTTTTCAAAAATATTTTTCTTAACACAAGTATTTTGAGGTTGATAATAAAAGGATGGGGTTCCTTATAGACAATATCTCAGTCGGCTTTCGAGACCACCTTAACAGAAATGAATTAGATAACTATAATTTACTTAATATTCTTATATTCAATTTTCTAATTCTTATGAGCAAATCTTTGATATTTAAAGTAAATATTTTATGTATATATTTGCATATTTTTTTCCAAAATAATATCATTGGTATGGAATTTAAAGGATATTAATGGTAAAAATCTTAGAAAAAATTAGAGTTAAGATTTATTGTAAATCAAAAAATTAAGTATGTAAAAAAAAAAACAAACAAAAAAAACTCTTGTTAACTATATTAATATTTTGTTAGGATAGGATCTTCCATCAGTCCGTTGAAATTTCAATGGACGAATTTAATCAGCTGAATTCTCTTAAAAACATAACTTATTTTAAAAATTCTACATGAGAAGATCAAAAATTCAATTCAACATTAAGATATAGCGACGGAGATTTATCAATTAAGTATAATATCTTGCATTCAAACTCCATTTACATGTATCTCCAACATACATGTATGGAGAAATTGTAATATTTCTGCTCATTTGCAGTCATATTCGAGCTATTATGGAGGCAGATTTCTTAAAGGTTTATATAGAGAAAATACAAAAAATCGCAATTTTTTTTTTATATACAAACCATTTCAGATAAAGTTTTCCCTCCAAAGATTTGATTTTTCATAATATCTTCAACCGGAAATTATTGAATGTTGATACCAAAGTCAAAGTTTCGACCTCCCTTTTTATTTGAAAATTCGAAGCCAGGGAATCTCCGGTTAACTGGTCAGAACATATGGCTCAAAGCAGGTATGACCGATCGGTAACGGATATCTACCCTTTTTGGCACCTCATCCCATCTCTGATGTTTTAAAGGGACCATACTTTTGCCCTGTTCACGATATGTATTTTTACAGAATTTATGAGATTGATCACTGTGCTATCTTTTTTCATTTCACAGGAACAGGAAATATATCAATTTTTGTCTAATCTTAAAGATAACAATTTCTTCAACTTAAAACATAGAATAATGTATGTATTTCTTTTTTTTTAAGAGCAGGATATTGGTACAGTTGAGATAAATGTTTATTACACACTTAGGTATGAAACATTGGAATCCATATGGTAGCAACAATCTGATATTTAGTAGACTAATTTCAGTAATTTGGCACATACGAGAGGTTATCAAAAAGTTCGTGGACTGATGTGATAAAATTAATACTACGTAGCCTGTGCTTACAAAATTTATAAGGAACATAAAACAATAAAAGTTTAAGAAATGTTGAAAATTTTAACTTGATACGTTGATAATTTGCCAAATTATTTTAAAATAAAAAAGACATTATATGATCACCCGGCGCTGTCGCCGTTTAGTTTCATGACATACGACAACGTCATTGTTTCTCAATGTCCGCTCTCTCTAACTCATACTCTTACCTTGATGAGATTACCTGGAGTTAAGTAAAGACTTATGCAAGTCTTGTTTATATGTCTTTACAATGTCATGAACAGCTGCTTTCAATGCTTATAATATTGTAAATGGATCTATACAAAGGGAAAAGCCTCACTTGATTATGCCAGAATACTTAGCTTGTTGGAGTTCAATTTCTACCACACATGATCAACGTCACTTTTCGACGTGACTGTCTATTGACACCCTCACTACAAATCGACATTAACTGTGCATCTTTCATATCTCTGAATCCTTTTGGACCTTTAGAAACAAGTACACTGGATGCATTTTATTTTTCTGTAGCCCGTTTAAACATTCCTTGGGTCTATACCAGTTTTCCCAGGAGAGAAACTTTATAGAATGTTGGAAAAAGAAACCCCTCCCCCTTTTTGGCGTCATTTTCAAGCCCATAATTGTTTGGACACTCCATATAAAATTTACGATAAAATTTCATAGAACTTACAGAATAGGGTAAAAATTGCAAATTTTACGGAACAACTGTGTTGTAACACATGCCCGAAATAACGGGATTTTTTGATGACAAATGCTCATATTAAGAGTTTTTCTCAGTTACACTCAGGTAGAAAAAAAAGGTCATATTTGAAGTTGAGCCGCCTGGACATACAATTGCTTACAAAAACGCTAATAATTTATTAAAAAAAATAAAACGAATGATTTACGGTTTATTCTATAGATAGAAAAGATGATGCTAACTGTGTAAAAATTCATTGATGTACCTAAAACGGTTTTAATTTTATGGCGCTAGTCCACGAACTTTTTGATAACCCCTCGTATATATATATATATATATATATATATATATATATATATATATATATATATATATATATATATATATATATTCTATGTTAATAAATAATTTTTGTGTTTCTATTCTTGAGAAAGAAACTTTTCTTTGACGGATTTAAAATTCAGTTAGAGAACCTACTCAAGTCTTAGGAGTAAATGCAACCAATGCTGAGAAATATGCACATACGTACGTTCATCACAGTTTACTCCTTTCCATCCTTCAGCACATTCATTGTCACATTGACCAGTCACGTGGTTGCAAAAAGCGTTACCTCTGCAGTGTCCAAAACACTGTAGTTTACATTCAAGACCATACCATCCCCCTGAGCACTCTGTGTAAGCAAAGTTTATGTTCAATTCAATTGTAATATTCATACAAATTATAACACAAACATCAAATTTTCAAGGATTTGCATTAAAGCAAAACCAAGGAGGATATGAATATAAAGCTATATGCGCTGTTTTTTGTTGTTTTTTTTCCAGAATTTTCTTCTGCTGTACAAATGTTCTATTATGATAGTTCTACACGTACCTTAAAACTTTATATCAGACTTAAACTAAGTGCTAAATCTTCAGAAGAAAGATATCTGTAGAATGGAATGTATGTACATGTACGAGGGTTGTTCAAAACTTCGTAGACAAGCGTAGTTTTGGAGGATCCCCGTGTCATAAATTGATGAAACTTTGTACATAGATTAAATCAATAGTAACTTATAAATATATGGACATACATTGAGTAATTACACAGAAGAACCCTATTTAAATGTCATATTTTATTGTATGGTTTAAGAAAGCGGGACATTTCCGAAACATTGCAATTAAAAATCGATATATAAATATTTAACATCGTAAAACAGGTATTAACTGATCAAAGTTTCGAGAATATAGAAATAAAAATTCTTAATATTGTGTTGTTAATACGCTTTTCTCAAATTTTGTTGTGCATGCTTCAATTAGTGTTGTTGAGAAATGGCGGCTGCGTTGACAAAGGCGGCGCACTGGACTGTGATCAAGTATTCTGATCTTGAATTCACTCCTACAGAAACGCATGTCATAAAATGCCTGGTACACATGGAAGTGTTTTTTGGTCCTTAGTATATGAAAATAACTTAAGCACTTTCCCTATTATAAGTTAGTGAAGAAGCAGAACTTAAAAAAAGACAGGCTAAAGAATCGGACAAGAGTGACACTGTGCAACTCTATCGGGGTAGACAGATGAAAAACCCATAGAAACGTAGAGGTTATTATTATTTGATACATGTACAGCTGTACATACTTTGTTCTATATTGAAATGTTAAATGAAAGCAAATAATTAAGAGCTTTCACACTTTTATCTTGAATGTTTACGATGAATTAGTGACTTTCATTAGTGTCGTTCAGAAGAAAGATCCGAGTCGGTGGTGTTCATCTTTTTTGACGTTGGAGATTTTCCCTGGTGTTAGGGATCGGAACATTACAATTCTTATTATTCCAATTGTTTTCAAGTAATCATGTTAGGACTTCGAATTTTGCAGCGAACAACATACTTTATCATCCGGAAAATATAAAGATATGAGCTCAGTCCATAGAATTTTGGGACAACCCTCGTACATGTATGTGGTATAAAATAAATCAATTTTCAATCAGCGTTTCTAAATAGTTTTTCTATCATAAATATGAATTGAAAAAATTGGCTAGTGCAAACAACAGCATATGCAATCATTTAGTAATGAAGTGAACATGCACAATACTCAAGTTAAATTATGCAAAAACTAAAATTTTCAGAAGTTAACCAAATTTGATTTCCATGGCAATGACAGTCATTTAGGAATTTTTATTTACCAGGAACATGGTGAGACAATTACAATATCAATATAATTAAGCTTGAAAGACCTATACAGAGAAATATTTATGAGAAAATTTCTATTTTGGTTCCCATGGTACCAAACTTTGTCCGATAACCGATCCCATTTTTCCTTTAGCAGAAACCACTTTGATAAGATGTAGTGGATAGTCAGTTAAAATTAAAAAAAAAAAGGGGGGGTGGCTGGGAAGATACTGAGAAAATTGAAATTAAACATTATCATATATCGTGTGTTTCCATTGCATTCGGGGCAACATTGAAAATGTTAAATGCCATAGGATGAAGCTATGTGAAAGGTGGTTGACATTCTACTGAAAGGTACATGAAATAACTGAATGGCAAAGCTCTGCCATTCAGTTACCTTTTCAGACCTTTTGGTGTAGATTCATATTGTGTGCACAACTTGATGGATATTTCTGAGAGGTTTCCTTAAGATTACCCGAGCCATCTGCATGAACATTTGCTTACAAACTTATACCTGAAACTATAGAAATGTGTCGCGTCGACTTCGAATGGGGTAATATGAAAAATTACTTGTAATAATATACATTATTTTTTAATGTCATTAAAATAGTAAATTATAATTTAACAGCTAAAATTTCCGACTTCAAAATAAAAGCTCATATTGCTTTGATATAATCATTAAATCGTACTATTTTCGCAAAATGCTCCAGTCCACCCTTCTAAACATCCCAGACAAGTTCCGTTGACGATGTCACACCTCTGTTCTTGACAGTTCTTGGGGCATTTTTGTCCACAATGCTTACCATAGACACCTGCTCTCCTACAACCTTATCAATGTTTAGAGTTATAACACACTTAGAAATAAAATTAAATATAAGAGCTTGTCCTACTTATTTAAAGAAATTTATTTTCCTATGTACGATGATTGTACTTGAAAAGAATTTAGCTTATTCATATCTTTCATAGAGTAGATTGAAATCTATAATTTTCTAGTGTGATTTCTATGAATGGAGAAGAGAATTTAAAGAAAACTAATAGATTTGTATTTAAAATTATGTATAAAAATGTACGGTACAATTTTGTTTTAAATCAGTCACATGTTACTAACATATAAGATGTATCTGACATTAGAAGATATCTGAAATCTAGTATATTTCCTTCAAAAGCAACGAATTCTAGGAGCTTAGACATCATATTGATTCAAATCTTATGTAACAATTACAAGTTAATTACTTATTTGCTATATTTCTTTTAACTACAGTACGTACTGCGTTATAATTCACCGAATCACGCTTGATAAACCTTCAATGCAGGACTGAATGAGTTTTGACATTTCATGTCACTGAGAGTTTAACTTACCAAGTCCTGGGAATCGGTATTCTAAATAAGTAAGAATCATGGTAAGTGATTACCATTTACTATTACTTCGCACAATTCAGTGACTGTCGTACGTTGGTATCCGTCTGGATATGTATTTTCATCCAATCGTTGATTGTAAAATGTAACATATCGTCCATATCCGACACATATCGTCGTAAAGTTTAATGGTGGCAATTCTTGTTCATCCTCGTAACACAGGAAATCACTGTATCTTACACTAGAATTTGATAAGTAAAGAGACAATCCCGCAAAACGGCCTCTTTGTCGTATTTCTGTACAGAATAAGTAATAAGCTAATTACACATTCATTTCAAACTTATCTATTTATGATTTCAAAAATGTAAGTTTATTTCAATGGGCTTTTGCACGATATTTACCCACGGGTTAATGTACAGGTTCCATTGATGGTTTTTAAATAGTAACCTTTTTTTGTTAGTTCTTTTTTATTTGCATATATTGTTTTCTCAATGCAGGTCTCTCATCAACTCTATACAACCAAATAAACATTTAATCAAATTGATTTAATTGATAAGTCATTTACCCAATTTATATGAATACCTGAATTGTTCATTTTTTTAGAAAAACAAGATGTGTTTGTGAAACACTGATGCCCCCGTATGGCAGCTTATGGCGAAGGTTAAAGTTTCTTCAAATGCAAGTCAAAATCCAGGCCAAAAGATAAAAAATGTTGATACCCAAAGAAAGGTCTTGTCTCGAGGAATACACCTGTGAAATTTGAAAGACCTAGATACAACTGTTAAAAAGTTATGGCCAAGGTTAAAGTTTTTCAAAAGTAGGTCAAACTCCTAGGTCAAGGTCAAAGGGTCAACATGGTTGATATCCAGAGGAAGGTCTTGTCACATGGAATACACATGTGAAGTTTGAAACCTTAAGCTCCAACTGTTCAAAAGTTATGGCCAAGGTTAAAGTTTTTCAAAAGTAGGTCAAACTCCAAGGTCAAGGTCAAAAGGTCAAAGTTGTTGGTATCCAAAGGAAGGCCTTGTCACAAAGAATACACATGTGAAGTTTGAAACCCCAAGCACCAACTGTTCAGAAGTTATGGCCAAGGTTAAAGTCTCATAAAATTTTGCAAAAGTTGGTAAAACTCCAAGGTCAAGGTCAAAAGGTCAAATATGATGGTACCCAGAGAAAGGTCTTGTCACAAAGAATACACATGTGAAATATGAAAGTCATAGCTCTAACCAATCAAAAGTTATGGGCAAGGTTAAAGTTGACAACAGACTGACAGACAAACGGACAAACAGACAAACAGACAAACAGACAGACAGGACAAAAACAATATACCCCCGGGATCTTTCGATCCGGGGGCATAAAAAACTCACCATAACCGTTATAGTTCTTGAACAGGACATTGGTGCTGTAAATACTGTAAACTGCACCAAGATCTACTCTCCACCACACCGTTTTCGTGATTGAAAATGTTCCTATTTCAGTGTTTCTTGTACACGTTGATTTGTCTCGGTCAACTGCATTCGCTGCTATATAAAATGTGCTACACGCATTTTTCAGACATGGATGAGTTGAGCTCTGACTGGTGGTTTTACCCATTGACAAATCCTCTTTAAAAACAAAAAATACGTGTTATGAGTTTTTTGTCGTTATGGATATTAATTGCACATACTCAATACAAGAAAATTCGAATTAGGCCAACTTTAAAATAATGTTTGTTTGCCCTCTCTCGACTCAAGAGGAAAAAATTGGGTGGGTAGGTAGGGGTATTTTTTTTTCTCAGAAAATTTCAACATCAATGCTAAATTTTCAAAATCTATTTTCAAGAATTCTTAAAAAAATATTTCTTTTCTAGAGTTTAGAAAGTTTTGAGTCGGGCAAGCAAGTAAAGAAATAAGAACAGGCAGGACATCTATACGATGTATTTGTCTTTGTTACAGGTAACCTGCCTAGTCATTTCTAATTCAGGACCAGTGAAAAGTGTGTGTGTGAGTGGGAAGGGGGGGGGGGTTCTTTTGGTGAGGACAGAAGTAATGGCATATGAAAGGTTTATACTGGATTGAAAGGTGTCTGGAATTCGCTAATCAAAATTTTGCATAATTTAACCAAACAACGTTCACGTTTAAGTCAGTCAAAGCTTAAAAATTATTAACCCATCAAGAGAAATTGGACAGGTGGCAGAAAAAATTGATAGAGACATCAGGATTTCTTTCCCTTTGCGTTACTCATAGTATAAGTTAGTTATTTGGACTAGGCTTTTAGACTTGTCGGAAATATCAGCTCTGAGATCTACATATAATGTAATTCCTTGGTGTCCTGCTGATATAGCTATAGAAACTTTTTGACTTAAACTGATATAGTGATCGTAGTTCCTTTTTTAACCCGCTTGAGCCGAAGGCTCAAGTAAATTTTTCCTTATCAAAAAGAACTGCGAACGATAGTATTGTTCTCCCGCCTACCTCCAAGTCAATTTTCAAAAGTTAACACATTTGAATGATTTTTCATATCTATATAGATATTTATATGAATTTTCATAAAATAGTTCTTCTTTTGGGAAAACAAGGAGAGATAACTCTATAATTTTGGTAAAACTTGTGTTTTTCACCATAGAAAGCAACGGAAAACGGAAAATATTTAAATATTTTTAAAACATCTGAACCCCCCCCCCCCCCCTCGTGAAACAAAAATTCCTTTTTACAGAAAATGATTCAAATTAATTCAAATGCAGGGCAACGCCCTCTTCCAGGGGGATATAATTAACAAAAAGTAAAAATTGGGTGTGGTCATTTAAAAATCTTCTCAAGAACCACTGGGGCAGGAAAGATGAAATTTTTGTGAAACTTTCCTGTCATAGGGTAAATTCAAGTTTGTTCAGATCACGCCTCCTGGATAGGATGGGACCCCTATGGGTGATCAAAGTTTTACTTTGGAATATATAGGAAAAAATCTTTCAAAAACTTCTTCTCAAGAACAGCAAAGCCATGATCAGTCATATTTATATGGAAACATCGATAGGTAGTGTAGATGCAAATTTGTTCAGATCATGACCTCCGGAGGTTGGGTGGGGCCACTATTGGCGATCAAAATTTTACATAGGTATAATTAGGAAATATCTTTTTAAAAAAATTCTCCTTCTCAACAATAGCAAAGCCATGATCAGTCATATTGATATGGAAGTTTCCTTAGATATAATGTAGATTCAGATTTGTTCAAATCATGAACCCCAAGAGGGGAGGGGGGTTAGTGTGGGGCAACTATGGGCGAGCAAAGTTTTACTTGGATATAAATAGGAAGGATCCTTAAAAATATTCTTCTCGAGAATAGGAAAGCAGTGTATAATCATATTTATATGGAAGTATCCCCAGTTAGTTTAGATTCAAATAAGGAAAACATAGGAGAAATCTTTTTAAAAAATCTCCTGAAGAAGAAAGGTAAAGTCATTACCAGTCATATTTATGTCTAAGCATTCATAGGCAAACCCATCATATGTCTTATTTATTTCGATGCATCCACAGATAGTGCATATCATGACACCAGGGGTAGGGTGGCGCCACAATAGGAGATCAAAGTTTTACATGGGAACACATAAAAAAAAAACTTTAAAAAATTTCTTTATCCCAGGAACATCAAAAATATGAGAAAATTACTATTTAGACAGTGTAGATTCAAGTTTGTTCAAATCACGACTCCCGGGGATAGGGTCTGCTACAAAGGGTGATCAAGTTTTACATGGGGATATATAGGAAAAAGAATCTGTTGATAAGAACAAGAAGAACCATAGTTACTCAGGTGAGAGTTGAGGCCCATGGGCTTCTTGTTATAGAGTATTTTATGTAGTCACAGGCTGTTTCGGGTAATAAGAGAATTGTAAGTTAGACTAGTCCGTCTAAGTGATGGGTTTATAAATAGGCTGGCGTTTTGTATGGATGATTAATTATTGGTCATTTTTATGCCCCCGGATCGAAAAATCCCAGGGGTATATTGTTTTTGTCCTGTCTGTCTGTTGTCAACTTTAACCTAGCCCATAACTATTGCGCTGTCAAGGGTAAGGCTTTAATATTTGACATGAGTGTTCATTATGACAAGACTTTTCCATTGGTACAGAAATTGTTGATCATGTGACCTCAACTGTGACCTTTGACCTACATTTGAAAAATTTTAACATTGGCCATAACTATTGCACTGTAGTCTACGTCCCACTCCAGAATTGTGTTACGATCGGGGGCATAGTGTTTCACAAACACATCTTGTTTTGATTATTTTCGTTCTTATTTTTTATTTTGTAATTATTAACAAGAAAGTACATAGAAAAAGTATATATAAGGGATGACGGTCAGTTTTGCGAGAATAGTAAGTTAGACCAGTCCGTCTCGGGGATAGGTTTATAAATAGGTTGACATTTTATTTGGATGTTTGATTTTTGTTCATTCTTTGATTATTTTTCGTTATTATTTTGTATTTTGTAATTATATTAACCAGAAAGTAAATAGAAAAAGTATATATTACGGATTTTGGTCATTGTTTTGTTAGTGTCTTGTTGTAAATGAAATCTCCTTTGATTTTTAGGAATGAATCTAAGTGAACCCAACTGGAAATCATTTGTATCTGAAGATAATTTTAGAAACTTGCACAGCCATGAATTCTAAATTTTAAAAAGAAAGATAATTTTGACACATCTGTTTCATTTTTGGATATTTTACTAGATAAATATGTTAATTGTAACCTAACAACAAAACTTTATGATAAACGGAATGACTTCAATTTTTCTATCGTCAACCTCCCTTATTTGTGTAGCGATATACCCTTATCACCTGCATATGGAGTTTATGTCTCACAATTGATTCGTTACGCAAGAGCATACTCTACGTACAAACAATTTTAAAAACGAGGCAAGCTATTAACAATTAAGTTGATGAAGCAAGGATATCAACAGTCTCATTTAAAGACAACATTTCGCAAATTCTATGATCAATACAATGACCTAGTCAACAAATACAATCTACCATTAAGATGAATACTGAAATACAGATGAATACAAATTGTTAAGCCATCATTTACACAATGAATTGTCTGCGGAATTTTCTGTATGCCCGGTCATGACAAGGAGCACACGGCGGGTGTTACCGGTCGGCAGGGGATGCTCACTCCTCCATGGCATCTGATCCCAACTCGGATGTTTTTAGAAATCCGTGTTTGCTCTGCTCCAAATTGGTATTGTTTCAGTGAGCTTTTGAGCTTGATTAATGTTTGTTATATCCATATTACATGATTAAGATATTCAAGATAAATCAGAGGCAAGAAACACAAAAGAAATAAAATAAGGGAAAATAGACTTCAAATCATGAAATCAACTCGCAATATTAGAGATGCAATTTTAAAATGACACGAAAAAAACATTCATATTATTTATATCATATATATTTCCTGGTTTCTATGGTCGAGACAATGGCCTAGTTTGCAAATATAATATGTCATTTGAACGATTTGGGACGTTTTTGAAACAAATCCTTAAGTAATTGTTTTCATGCTGACTTATCTACTGAATGCACGTCCTCCGTTTACCTGATTAAAACCAAAGGCCCAGGGCAGGTGTGACAATAGTTATGAATATTTCCTTGTTAAATTCCCAATTTGTAATATGATTTATAATTTTAGTTTACATGGTAAACAATTATGTTTGATAAAAATATCTTATTGTAAATTTTAAATTTTACCGGGAAGCAGTCAATGCAAATATTGCTTTGTAGTTTTCATCTGTAAATTTTGTTCTTACCGGTACTTTCGTTACACAATGACTGAGGTAATATGTGTGAAAAAATGGTTCCTGTTCGTTTTTCATGCTTTGAAAAGTAACATAGTATGTAGTTTACAGCTAATAATTAATTAAATTCAAAGCTTCTGTTGACAACTTGATATCGTTATATTTTATTAAATATTTTCCTTACATTGAAAAACATCAGATTTCCTAGATTATGAAATCCATTTTTGAGAAAGGTTTCATGTTATAAAAAATTTCACAAATGCACTTTAATTCATTGCCAATCAAACCCTTATGTTAATATGATTTTTAAAAGCTTGCTTAACCAAAGACATAGTCGCCCGCGTGGCGCAGTGGTTAGAGCGTTCGCTCTAGAGTCGCGGAGTAAGGAGTTGCAGATCCTTAATTACGTCGTGGGTTCGAATCCCACTAAGGGACGTGGAGACCAGTCCTTCGGATGAGACCGTATAAACCGAGGTCCCGAGTCGCAGTAGGTGCTGGCACGAAAAAAGATCCCTCACAGCTCAATGGCTTTGAGTGCCGAGTATAGATCAAAATATGTAGCTCTCCACCGGCAAGTGGTGGCGTCTCTATATGTTTGAAAAATTCTCTCGAGGGACGTTAAACAATAAACAACAAACAAAAACCCAAGACATAAGAACAGTAGGAAAACAAAGCTTAATATTTTTATTTTTTCTCAAAGCTTACTTATATCAATATAATGCAAAATATCTTTCTTCTCATTATAGCTAAAATAAGTTTAAAAAAATTTAATTGTTTTATGAAGATATTTGACATTTTAGCAAATAAACTTTGTTTACCAACTTCCGTCATTCTGAAT